TAATTACTCTCTGAAGTCTGTATCTGTCATGTTGGGTTGCAGAACCAAACCAGACAGTTATAGAGGTGCAGATGACAGACTCCATCATTCCTCTGTAGAACTGAATCAGCAACTTCTTGGGCAGAAGGAGGGCAGAAGTGCACCAACGTGCCTACTGTCCCTGTCCTATTGTTTCTTTTTATTTTTCTTATATGTATCCATTTCATGTATTCATAACTATGTTTATACTTATGCCTATTATCTTGTAAGTGATTGACAAATCAAATCGATCGATAGATAGATAGATAAATAGATAGATAGATAGATAGAGAAGCAACCTAGAACTAAGGAGAAATTTCCTGACAATAAGATCAATCAAGTTTGCCTCCAGAAATGGTTAAAAACTGGAGATTTTTTAGGAAGAGATTGGACAGCTATTTGTCTAGAACAGGGGTATCAAACTCAAGGTCCATGATGTGGTTGGATCTGGCCCATGCGGCCATCTTGGCAACGGTGAGGGGCCGGCCTGTATTGCTTAGGCCAGGCCCACCCAATCCCGGCATGTGCGCATGCACACAGGAGGTGGCAGGCAGGTTGTTAAGTGAATTTGTGTGGTTGTTAAGCCAATGCAACTTCCACCCCTGACTTTGCTTATTGGAAGCCGGCTGGGAAGTTCAGAAATAGCGACCACATGACACTGCAACCATTATAAATATATGTCAGTTGCTAAGTGCCTGAATTTTGATCATGTGACTTTCTCCAGCTCCACTGTAAATTTCAACGGTCACTAAACAAATAATTGTAAGTTAAGGACTCTCAGGTGTGAAAGATCAGGTCTACACATAAAGATCTAATTGAACTGATTGATTGCTACTCATGCCTAAGCATAGGTACTATTAATGGTAGACACCTGTTTAGAGTTAGATAAGGGCTAATGGCACTCAAAGGGGGCTGGACTTAGTTCACTTGTGCTTTGTAGGGATTCTAGGCTGATTCCTCTTTTAACTCCACCCCCAGGTTCTACTGTTCCTTTTCCTACAAGGATTACTGTATGCGTTAGAGGTGAATTGATCTATCTTTCATGCACATGTAACCGTTTTGGCTTGGCTTCAGATAACAGATAATCAGAGTTGGAAGGGACCTTGTAGGTCATCTAGTCCAACCCCCCCACCCAAGCGGGAGACCCTTCACCATTTCTGACAAATGGCAGTCGAGTCTCTTCTTGAAAGTCTCAAGTGATGACGCTCCCACAACTTCTGAGGGCAACTTCTGTTCATTGGGTTGATTGTTCTCACTGTCAGAAAGTTTCTCCTTATTTCCAGGTTGAATCTCTCCTTGGTCAGTTTCCATCCATTATTCCTTGTTTGGCCTTCGGGTGCCTTAGAAAATAGCTTGACCCTTTCCTCTCTATTTTATTTTATTTATTTATTTATTTTTATTTGTCAATTGTTTACGAGATAATAGGTATAGGTAAAACATAGTTATGAATACATGGATACATATAAGAAAAATAATAAAATATATAAAAGAAACAATAGGACAGGGACGGTAGGCACGTTGGTGCGCTTATACGCGTCCCCTACAGACCTCTTAGGAAAGGGGTGAGGTCAACAGTAGACAGTCTAAGGTTAAAGTTTTTGGGGTTTGGGGAAGAAACCACAGAGTCAGGTAGAGTATTCTAGACATTGACCACTCTCTTGCTGAAGTTGTATTTCCTGCAATCAAGTTTGATGCGATTAACTTTGAGTTTGTATCTATTGTTTGCTCTTGTGTTGTTATGGTTGAAGCTGAATTATTCATTGACAGGTAGGACATTGCAATGTATGATTTTATATACTATACTTAGATCGGACCAAAGGCGGCGTAGTTCTAGATTTTCTAGGTCTAGAATTTCGAGTCTGGTGGCATAAGGTATTCTGCAACGAGTAGAGGAGTGGAGAACTCTTCTTGTGAAATATTTCTGGACTTTTTCAACTGTGTTAATATCAGATACATAATGTAGGTTCCAGACTGATGAGCTGTATTCGAGTATTGGTCTGGCAAATATTTTGTATGCTCTAGTTATTAGTGTAATATTACCAGAGAAAAAGCTACGTAAGATTAGGTTAACAACTCTTAATGCCTTTTTGGCTATGTAGTTGCAGTGGGCTCTAGCACTTAGATCATTAGAGATGAGTACTCCAAGATCCTTGACAGAGTTTGGATCATCAACAAGGTCTTGACTATTCAGCCTGTATTTCATTTTCTGATTATTTTCTGCCAATATGTAGGACAGAACATTTATTTGTTGAGATTTGTGGCAGCCCCGCAAATATTGGAAGACTGCTATCCTGTCTCCCCTGGTCCTTCTCTTCACTAGACTAGCCATGCCCAGTTCCTGTAGTTGTTCATTGTATCTTTTAGCCTCCAGTCCCCTAATCATCCTGGTTGCTCTTCTCTGCACTTTTTCTAGAGTCTTTGAACAACTTTTTTATAGTGTGGTGACCAAAACTGGATGCAGTACTCTAGCTGTGGTCTTACTAAGGCTTTATAGAGTGGGATTAGTTCCTCCCTTGATCTCGATTGTATCCCTCTGTTAATGCAATTTAGGATTGTATTGGCTTTTTTAGCTGCTGCTGCACACTGCTGGCTTCTATTTAGCTGGTTGTCCACTAAGACTCCAAGAACCCTCTTCCAGTTACTGCGATTGAGCCTGGTTTCACCCAGTCTATATGTGCACTTTGGGTTTTTCTTGCCTAAGTGTAAGACTTGACTTTTCTCTATATTGAATTTCATTTTGTTAGATGCTTCTGTCCAATAGATGCCATTATTGAGAAAGAAAAAAGCTGTTTAATACCATTCAGAGCCTAAAACAATTAAGGGAGACTTGGTGGTGCTTGGTTATAAAATGGTCTAGAACAGGGGTGTCAAACTCACGTCATCACATCATCACGTGATGTATTGTGACTTTCCCCCCCTACAATGGCAGTGGGCGTGGCCATCATGTGACACATTCATCCCATGAGCTGCAAGTTTAACATCCTTGGTCTAGAAGGATGAAGGACAAACAGTCCTTAAAAGAAGAAAGGAAACTTGTTTAGTTCATGCATTTTGGTATAGTTTATTTGACGTTCAGAAAAATATAAAAACCTAAAACAGATTCATTACACTTGTAATAACACAGTAAAGGACAATATATAATGCTGATTGTGTTTATTTACAATATATTTACATGTTGGGTGAGTTTATATACTGGACTTATATGAACTTTTCTGGCGGCTTGTAGAATGACTCCCATGAGTTGTAGATCATGAAGTTGAACCTCCAACGGTTCCTTCTCTTGGGTTTCCCTTCTTCGTTTTCAATATGCTTCTTTCCAACTTCTACATTGCTAAAATGCCCAAAATAAATCCTGCTCTTCAAACTATGATTCAAGCTCATTTATAAATCATGGTTTGGAGACAAGGTATCAGGGTTAGCATCAGGGGTCAGTTTTCGAGGGATCTGCCAAGAATTACAACTTGCAGAGATTTGTGGGGTCCTTGGCGCTCTCTGAGCTTGGTTACTTTCCTTACAAATGTTTCATGACCCAACTAGGTAACACCATCAGTGCTAGTAGGGACTGGGGTTTGTTCTCTCTTTATGTATAGGTGGTTTGCCCTGCTAATATTGATGGGAATATTTCTACTGGTTCCTTGTTTATGGTTTGATTGTCTGAGTTGATAGTTCCTTGCTTGGGGTACGCTGACAGAGTAAACTGCTAGCCTTTAAAAATAGAGCAAACCTCACTCCCTTCTAGCATTGATAATATTACCTAGTTGGGTATTGAAATGTCTGCAAGAAAACCACCAAGCTCAGAGAACACCAAGGACCCCACAATTCAACCTTAAACTGCAAATATTCTTTTCTATTGCAGATATTATAATGAGAATGTCCAAATTTGATCGTTCCACCTTGTCTTTGTCACCTTCTCATCAGGGGTGGGATGCAAATAGTTTTACTACTGGTTCTGTGGGCGTGGCTAGGTGGGCGTGGCTAGGTGGGTGTGGCCAGGTGACTGGGTGGGCATGGCTTCTTCTTTTTTGCAGCAGCCACCCAACACTCCATTTATTTTGCCTCCTGGGCCTCAGGGAAGCAGTAAGCGAGGGGGATCCTGGCACAGTTGATTGTCAGAGCAGCTGATCATCAGGAGGAAAAAAAGAAAAGAAATACCGGTTCAGTAGAACTGGTAGCTGTTTTTTTACTACCGGTTCGGCCGAACAGTAACAGTTTTTACTACTGGTTCTCCTGAACCAGGCCAAACCAGTAGAATACCACTACTGCTTCTCATCTGATTTGTCCTTTTGGGACAGTTTACAGAATCTGGGAGAACTACCTGTGTGGTCCCTCATCTTCCAAAGCATTTCTCATGTTGCTTAGAAAAAGAACTGACACATAATCATGTCTGGATTAATTATGCCTTCAATGTGAAGATACACATTTTGGTTAATAAATTGGTAATGCATTGATATGTATATGCAAAGCCTTCTTTGTATAAATTTTGCTCTGGCACTCACCTCTCACTAGTCTCTGTAATGCTAGAGGATGTTGTAAACGTATCTTAGAACAATTAGTTTCCTGAATATTTGCATAAAGAGAATGGCAATAGCACTTAGACTTATATACCACTTCACAGAGGTTTACAGCCCTCTCTAAGCGGTTTACAGGGTCAGCCTCTTGCCCCCAACGATTTGGGTCATCATTTTACCAACCTCGGAAGGATGGAAAGCTGAGTCAACCTTGAGCCTGGTGAGATGTGATCAATCAAATTACAGGCAGCTGGCAAACAGCAGAAGTAGCCGGCAGTACTGCATTCTAACTACTGTGCCACTGAGGCTCTTAATAATGTGTGTCCGATCACACTTGGCCAAATAAAGTATTCATCCATTCATTAAAGTAATCATAACTTGCAGATAACAGCTAAGTTTGTAAATAATAATAATAATAATTTCTCTGCTTTACAAGTAGTCCTTGACTTTACGAAGATAATTGGTACTGGAATTTCCATCACTAAGCAAGGCAGTTCTTAAGTGAGTCATGTCTGATTTTATGGCTTATTAAAAACAAGCCTGAGGAATTCTGGGAGTTGAAGACCACAAGTCTTAAAGTGGCCAACTTTGGACACCTCTGGTCTAAACTGAATTGTCCCACATATATTATGTTCCTTTCCAGATGAATACATTGCCTTCTAACTGAAGAACATCTTGAAAGTTGAACTTCTGATCCAAGAGAAGGCATCTACAACCAAGAAGAACAAACTGTCCACTGACAACTAAGTTTTTCTTCCGTTCTTCCTTGGGACGACTCTCTAGTTGCAAGACTGACACTTCGATTTGCTTACACTTTCTCGCAAATGGATTCAGAGCACAGTTTCTTTCTCTCCACATAGTAGGCCCGGTTGGCTTCTGGATAGGTGACTTTGGAGAGAGGCAGCTTGAAGATGGCATCATTGGTGGTGGTTAAGAGCAGGAAGGTGAGCGAAGATAAGCAAAATGGCCAGGTCCCTATTGGCAGTCCAAACTGGAACATAAAAACATCAACATCCGTCAGCAATGTCTTTGGGGAGTTTACACAAAATCAAGAAGGTGTAGTCAAGGTAGAAAAGTAGAAAGCGCTACATGCTTTTTGGAATTAAACAAAAGCAACAATGGAAGATATCTACCCCGTTGACAATAGTATCAAATGGACCATGATTTAGAACAGAGGTGGGGAACTACAGCCCCTTGAAACATCTTCAAGCAGAGTTCATAGATGGTCATCTACCTCCAGCATGAAGCTCTCTACACCTGTCATGACCCTGGTGGAGACTGACTCTGAGGGAGAGGAGGAACAGCCAACAGGGAGTGGAAGGGTGGCTCTGGCGGTTGAGGAGGAGGCTGGGGAAGGGCAGAGGCTGGCTGGGCAGTCAGAGGAGGACCCAGGCCCATCCCCTCTTCATCCTAGGGCACACAGGGAGGAGAGGATAAGGGAGAGAGATGGTCTACTCAGGAGGAGAGGGCCTTGATCCTCTTCATGGGCTGCAGATGTGACAACTGGATAAGAAGGATGGACATGCATACGGGCCCATGTTGGAAACAAAGCATGGAAATATCTCTAGTTTATGGTTCCTCTCTGAGTTTGGCGTCCTTCCCAGTGTGTGTTCTGTTATCTGTGGATGTCCTCCAGCCCTTATCTTGCCTGGTTTGTGTTGTTCTTTACTCTTTATAATTTAAACGGCATTTCCTCCTTCTTGTAACTGCTTGTGTGGGAGTTTTTTTTATCTCCAGTCAAGGCTATTTGGAGCTTGGAAGCAAACTGAAGGAATAAAAGGGGCTTCACCTGTTTTTTGTGATTGTGTTTATTTTGTATCCCACCCTGGGTCATCACAAAACCCAACGAATCCCTCACAACCCGTCCAGGAGGCCTGAGTAATAGCAGCTGTAGTTAGCGAACGTCTAGATCAGGGCTGGGAAACCACGGCCCTTTTATGACTTGAGGACTTCAACTCCCAGAATTCCTGAGCCAGCCATGCTCAGGAATTCCGGGAATTGAAGTCCAAAGGTCATAAAACGTCCATAGTTCCCCACCCCTGATATAGAACATTGACATCTATGGAGAATTGTGGATCTACTGTCTTGCTTTGGGACTCACTCAAAACATTTATCACCGAGATGGAAGAGACCTTGGAGGTCTTCTAATCTGATCCCCTGCAGGAAATCCCCGAGGCAGGAAAGACTATACTATTTCAGACAAATGGTTATCCAATCTCTTCTTAAAAACTTCCAGTGTTGGAGCATTCACAACTTCTGGAGGCAAGTTGTTCCACTGGTTAATTATTCTCATTGTCAGGAAATTTCTCCTTAGTTCTAGGTTGCTTCTCTCCTTGATTAGTTTCCACCTATTGCTTCTTGTCCTGCCTTCAGGTGCTTTGGAGAATAGTTTGACTCCCTCTTCTTTGTGGCAACTACTTCAAATATTGGAAGCCTGCTATCACGTCACCCGCTAGTCCTTCTTTTCATTGAGCTAGACATACCCAATTCCAGCAACTGTTCTTTATATGTTTTAGCCTCCAGTTTCCCTAATCATCTTCGTTCCTCTTCTCTGCACTCTTTCTAGAGTATGAACTGAATTGAATTTTGTGGGAAGAAGGGATGGGGTATTACAGGTACTCCTCAACTTACAACCATAATTTCCCTTGCAACCCATTGGAGTCATTAAGTGGGTTACCATGCATCCTAACGGTTATGCCCTGCAGGTGGGGTGTTGTGAAATTAAAATAAGACAGACCCTCCCCATTTAAGCCACCTGTAATTCCCCCCTCCCAAGGTGAGCGAAGAATTGATAATGATAAATAGATACAAATGCAATCTTTGTTCTTCAGTTATCAGTGAACGTACCACGGAAAAGATGCGGCCCATCGCTTCTCCCATGTAGGTGGTGAAAAAAGCTGCATGAAGAAATATAAACATATAATGTTGTAATCTGCTGTAAGAGACTCTGAAATAGTAAGGGGTTAAGGGCAGGGGTGGGATTCAAAAATTTTAGCAAAGCGTTCTCTGTCTGGTTGCTGAATTGGTGCGGCCTAGTCAGCCTTCTACACCATGGGGGTAGATTTTTGCTCTCCCCGAGCTCTGGAGGCTTTCCTTCAGCCTCCGGGAGGGCGAAAATGGCCTACCTGGGCTCTGGAGGCTCTCTGGAAGCCAGAAATGGGCTTATTTCCGTCTGTCAACTCATAAAACATTTTGTATACACAGTTTTATAGTTGACAACAGAAAGAAGTGGGGGGGGAGTTTCAAAGAGCAGGCGGCAGTGTGGAATCGAAAGTACATTCCATTCATATTTTCTTCAAAGACTGATTAGATGACTGAAGCTTCTGCCGTGCAAAAATCTAATTGGAGAGCATGATTGATGACTCTTGGCATTTTTTTGTTGGGCGATACACCCAGAGGGGTGAGGGGGAAAAGCAGGGTCAAGGGTGACAATGAATTACATATCTCAGAGTTGGCCACACCCAGGTGAGTGCCGGACGTAGATTGCTAACTTCAAATAAATCCTCTTTAGTTTTGGGAGTGTGGCTTGAGGCTCATAATTTAATTGGAGTAACTGCTAGAATCCTGACACCGGCCTTCTCTAACTTCCGGGAGGCCTGTTTTTCACCCTTCCTGAGCCTCAGTGCGCACCTTGCACTTACCTGCATTCAAAACAGGTGAAGTGGGGACTTCTGGGAGAGGAGGGGAGAGGTGGGTGGGGCCAGCCAGGAGTGGGATTTGGGGGTTCTTTGAACTGTGCAGAATCCTAGTTAGGGGGTCTCCCAAACCCCTGCAAAGCCCCAGCAGCCCACCCCTGGTTACTATTACTTTGGGCCAGTCCCTCTCTCTCTCGGCCTGACCCCCCTCACAAGGTTGGTGTTCTAGGGAAAAGAGGAGGAGGAAAGTATGTTGGAGATGTTCGCTGCTTTGACTTATTTGTAAAAATAACACAGGCAGGATACAACACCCCACCCACCAGATACAGCCATTTTGAGGGGATTCCAACAAACTATTGAAACATAAACACAGAGCAGACTGTTGGGTTTGGACCATATGCTAAGTTACAATAAATAAATACAATAAATAAATATGGTAAAAATAATATAATAAATTAAAATAGTAATTTGCTAAAGCACAGCCATTAAGTTCTTCTGTTTCCTGAGCTTTTTCTCCTTCACTTCATCGTCCCAAAGGTGCTTCTTCAAGAGGCAATTGGACTTTCTGGTGTTTCTCTGAAGACGTTTCACTTCTCATCCAAGAAGCTTCTTCAGTTCTGACTTGGCTGCTGGGAATTACACCATCCAATCAGAACCAACTAAGCTTCTTGGATGAGAAGCAAAATGTCTTCAAAGAAACACCAGAAAGTCCAGTTACCCCTTCAATAAGCACTTTGGGACAACCATAACCTGGATGTCTGAGAATCTCCATAGACACTCCTTCACTTCGGTTCTTGGATATGGGTTGAACTTGGTTGACGGAGCATAAAAGGGAATCCAAGGCAGAGTTCATGAAGAAAAAGGAGGAGGAGGAGGAGGAGGAGGAGGAGGAGGAGGAGGAGGAGGAGGAGGAGGAGAAAGAGATAGTTATTCCTTCAGTCATGTCCAACTCTTGGCAATTCCATGGGCCAGGTCTCTCCACATCTTCCAATCTTGCATTGCTTTTTTTGAGATATTCATTGTTCTGGCTGGGGTCAGCTTTGATGATGTCCAGTTGTCATGTTCTTTGGCAGCCCGGTTTCCTTTTACCGCTGACTCTTTCAAACATAATTGCTTTCTCCAGTGGCAAAGTTCATATAACACCCGGCTAAAAGTCAGGTTCACTAGTTTGAGGTTCAGTCATTATTATGACCTCTTCACACTGAACCAGAATATGGTCTATTGGTTGCACCAGGACATGGAGGTGAACAAAGAAACGGTGTTTGTTCACCTGGCTTTAAAACAAGTTGTGTGAACTCGGCCAAATCCTTTGATCCTACATGTCTATGGAGATTCTCAGTTCAACCAAATCATGGTTGTCCCAAAAGTGCATTTTTTTCAAGAGGCGACTGGACTTCCTTTGTGTTTCTTTGAAGACATTTCACTTCTCACCCAAGAAGCTTCTTCAGCTCTGACAGGGCATAAAAGGATTTATATTCCTTGCAGATAGCTGGTCGTTTGCATTCTTTAAGAGATCATTGCATTCTTTAAGAGGCCATTTGGAGGTTTATCTGTGTCATCAGAGTCACCTGAGTGGTGTTAAAAGGATGCAAATGACCAGCTGTCTGCAAGGAATATAAATCCTTCCATTTCCCATCATCCAGTCAAAGCTGAAGAAGCTTCTTGGATGAGAAGTGAAACGTCTTCCTGTTGTGGTTCGCCAACAACCAGTGCAGAAGGCAGCAGAAGCGGACAGTGGGGAAGAACAGGAACCAATCTGGGAGTCTGGAGAGGACTCGGACGAGGGTCCTGCATCTGATGCGGAGATGAGGCCAGGATCAACTGGGAGTGGGGTGCTGCCTCCGGAGCCTTTGGAGTCTGGCAGCAGCGAGGCAGAGGACCCAGGGGAGCCTGTTCCTAGTATGTATGCGCAGAGCTGCTAGAAGGCGAGAGCAGCTGAAACAAAAGGGGTGACTTGGGAGTAAGGCTGGGAGGTGATTGCCCCTCTCATAAGGGATAAAAGTCAGGCCAAGATGACAAAACCTTTGCAGGAAGCAAGGCAGTTCAATTGGTTCCGAGTCATCCTTGAAGCTCTTTGTACTTTGGTTGGTTTTTCTTGTACTTCGGTTCGTTTCTTTTATAGTTAATTTCATACTTCTGTTTTTGGCAGCCCTTCACAGAACTGAAAGGCGTGTGCTTATCTTGGGCGACTGTTTGAGCTTAATTCCAGCTGGGAATGAAAGCAATCCCCAGTGTTGCAATAAAATAGGTTGTGGTTTTTTTAAAAAAAACAAGTTTGTGAAGAATTATGGTTTATGAAGCTTGGGTCAGAACACATCCAAGAAAAACCAGAAAGTACAGTTGCCTCTTGAAAAAAGCATCATTGGGACTTTGATCCTACAGGTATTCCTTGAGTTATGATCCTAATGATGCCTGTGATTTGATGACCCTTTTTGCGCCGATAGTTAAATGACTCGTGGCTACCATTAGGAGGAAACTGCAATCATTAAGGAGACCAATGGTTTCTTTGATGCTGCAAAGCATCTTAAAATGGGGTTTTGTAACCATCCTGATTTCATGACCTTTTTTTGTGTTGGTTGTTAAGCTAATCCTATGGCAGCTCAGTGAATCAATGGTTGTTAAACGAAAGCTGCGGTCATTAAGCAAACCAAAGGTTCACAGCTAAACCGCTGTAGAACGGGATCGTAGGACCGTCCTGATTTCATGAACTTTATTTGCGGTGGTTGTTAAGTGAATCACTGCTCTCCTCAAGTAAATCTGCGGTTGTTAAGTGAATGCTGAGGTCATTATTAAGCCCACCCACGATTCACTTGTTGCAGCAAAACCATTATAAAATGGGTTGTGTGATCGCGAGACACTGCCAATGACAATAAATGTGGCCTGGTTACCATGCTACATGCCTGAAGTTCAGACATGTTTTTATGGGGGGGTGGGGGGAAGGGAAGCATCACAACTTTGAATTCAGGTCCTAAGTACAAATAATCCTCATGTTATGAACGTTCCTTTAACGAACGTCCAATATTATGTGAAAAGCATCCCCTAGCCCGGTGATGGCGAACCTATGGCTTGCATGCTTGAAGTGGCACACAGAGCCTCTTCTGCTGACACGCAAGAGCCCCACTGCACATGTGTGCGTGCCCCCACCAGCCAGCTGATTATCGGGTATCTGCCACGCATGCACAAAGGGAGATGCACACGTGGGTGATGTGCGTGTATGTGAAGAGGCATGCAGCATGTAGGGGGTTGTGTGCACATGCACAGAGACATGCAGTGCAGGGAGGTTGCATGCACATGTGCAGGTGTGGGGGAGTCAAACGTGCATTGCATCACTCGTATGCACTTTGGCACGCCATGTAGAAAAGATTAGCCATCAGTGCCCTAGTATTTGTGAACAAGGCTCGAAACCAGGGGTGGGATTCTACCAGTTCGCACCTATTCGCTAGAACTGGTTGTTAACATTCTAAGCAGTTCGGAGAACCAGTTGTTAGAAGAAATTACTAGCCTAATCCTGTAAGGAAGGCAGCAAGGAAACATTCTGGTTTTGCTTACAGAAACTGCCTCTCTGTTAACCCTTATTCCATTCTTGACAGGACTAGACTTTCTGTCTCTGGAACTTCTCTGGAGTTTTTTTCCTCCTTTGCTGGTACTTTGCTTGTGTGGAATGACCATTCAAAGTTACCATGGCACTGAAAAAAGTGACTTATGACCCCTTTTCACACTTACGACTGTTGCAGCATCCCCACAATCATGAGAAGCCAGGCGAGGAGATGCCTGCCTCGATGTGAGTGGTATTGAGTTGGCCACACCCCACCAAGCCATGTCCACCCAGTCACATGACCACCAAGCCATGCCCACCACCTAAGCCATGCCCACAGAACCAGTTGCTAAAAATTTGAATCCCACCCCTGCTCAATACTCTGAATCTTGCAACACCACAGCAGTTGTTCACCCTTACAAACAACCACAGAGGCTCTGAAACATTTGTCTGGACATTGCTGTCCAAAACGGAGCTTCTGGGGTGCAGATCTGCCACTCAGAAGCCCCATTCGGCCCTCCATGGACCTCCTCTGGTCCATTGCAGGCCAAAATGGAGCTTCCAGGGAGACCTGCAACAGGCTGGGGGAGACCCATGGAGGGCTGAACGGAGCTAAGGAGGGGTGCACGAGGCTGGAGAGAAGACTGCTTGCTACATCTTTGCAAGTGACCCGTCATGGCAGGTTTGGGGGGGAAGCAATTTGGGGAGCATGAGGTATTTCAGTGGGTCAGGGAGGCCTGCTCCATCAGTAGCCCCTCCCCCATGGACTTCCCCATCCTGAAATACCTCATGTGTCCTTAACGAGCATCGCCTTCAATTAGCAAATGCATGCGCAAAAGGAGGGAGTGTTCCCGTTGAAAGTACGAGATTCACTCCCACGAATCCTTGGGATACGAATGGAATGGATGGGCTCCATGACAGTCATCACCTGAGGACTACTTGTGTAGTGGGTTGATAAAACTTAGTGACCATACAGATCAGTAAGCAATCGGTCGTACACTGAGGACTATCTGTATTTTAGTGATGTAAAGCGGTGGTCCCCAATGCCTGGTGTCAACTAAAAAAATACTCCTTTGGTCTTTTTAGTTGCCAGCAGAAAGGGAATGTGGGGAAGCATCTACTACCTATATGGCATTCCTTAAACGTGTTGTGGTTTGCCAGCAGCAGCTGTGGACAGCTGAGGTCTCGGAGAGCGAGGACTCAGGTGAGGGGCCTGTGTGTGATGTAGGGATGGGGCCAGGACTGTCAGAAAGTGGAATGCTGCCTTCGGAGATTGTGGAGGCTGGCAGCAGCGATGAAGAGGTCCCCAAGGAGCCCGTGCCCAGTGCATGTGCGCGCAGGGCTGCTCGAAGGAAAGAGCAGCTGCAGCAGCACGGGCGACTCGGGAGTAAGGCTGCAAGGTAATGGCCCCTCCCTCAAGAGATAAAAGCCAGCTGAGAAACCAGAGTTCTTTGCAGGAAGCAAAGAAGTTTTTGCACTCAAGCCTTGTGGATGTTTGGACTCTCTTAGTTTGTGTTCGGAGACTCTTTGTGTTTGAAATACTTCTTGGCAACTTTATCTAGTGTTCTTGGCAGCCTTGCACAACCTTGGCAAGGCTCATTCTTATCAGAGACAATTCGTTTGAAACAGCCGTTTAACCCATGAAGGAACAGAATTCATAAAGAATCATTAAAAGGTTTTGCTGTTACCTCCGTCTGGTGTTTATTTCCTTGGAACAAGGTTTGGGTCAGAACAAAATGCCTTAGATAATCGCCTTGGCAGCCCAAAGTTGTTGGCACGCAAGAATATTACTGGAGAGCAGGATGGATGACTCTTGGCTATGGATGTGTCCCTTTGGAGAATATACATCCAGGGGGTGGGGGGAAGACCAGGGTCAAGGGGGAAATGAATGATGTATCTTAGTGTTGGCTGCACCCAGCTAACGTCAACATGGCCACTTCTAATAAACCAATTATTTTTAACTCTGAGAGATACGGCTAGAGACTTATGATTTGAATAGGGTTGGATTTTTTGGAGCTCTGACAGCCAGCCAATAGCGGGCTGCGGTATGCCAGAAACCGAGCTACGTAAACAAGCAAAGGACCATCCGTGTGATGCAGGCGGCATGCGAAACCACATCCCCTTCCGGTCTGCAGAGAAAACTATCCATGGAACCGGTCCCTAGTGCCCAAAGGGTTGGTGGGGGCCACAACTTAAAAGAGCCAGGTTACTTACCACAAGCGATGGCCAACGCAAATGTCTGCCAGGTGAGGGCGTAGAACATCCCTCCAATGGCAATGCAGGAGAGGCAGCTGTTGTAATTCCACAACCCGGCATAAATTTTGTTCAAAGGGGAGGCCAGACTTAGGGCTAGAAAGCAAAAACGGATGGAAAACTTGGTGAGCTTGAGTCCACAGAGAATACAGCCATCCTGATGGCTGCCTCTCCCAATCAGTAGCTTTAATCCACAATGAACATGATCCCATAGATCAGTGGTAGCTAACCTTTTGAGGCTCCTGTGCCAAAAAATGTTTGCGCGTTGGTGCTCGCTCGCTCACATGCCAGCACCCAGAAGGCAATGTGCATGCCCCCATGCCCACTGCACACAATTCCCCCACCACCACCTCCTTACCTGCACTGCGCCTCACAGTTGATTTTTCGGCTAGTTTGAGGCCTTTCAGGATGAATAATAGGCCCGTTTCGTCACTTCCGGTATTACAGGAAGTGACAAAATGGGCCTATTATTCATCCTGAAAAGCCTGCAGAGGGTTTTTTCAAGCCTCTGGGAGGGCGAAAAAGGCCTCAAACCAGCCAGAAAAAAACCCAGCTGTTAGGCGTGCGCATGCGCAGTGAGGTAAGTTTGGCTGCAGCTTGCGTGCCAGCACATATGGTTCTGTGTGCCACCTGTGGCACGCGTGCCATAGGTTTGCCATCACAGCCATAGATGGACATATGTGGACATTCTCAATCATCCAGGTCCTGGTTGTCTCAAAGATACAGGAATTGGTTATGTCTAAACTTGGTGAAAAGAAGGACTAAGGGTGATATGATAGCAGTCTTTCAATATTTGGGAGGCTGCCATGAAGAAGAGGGGGCCAAGCTATTCTCCAATGCACCAGAAGGCAGGACAAGAAGCAACGGATGGAGACTAGCCAAAGAAAGAAGCAACCTGGAAATAAGGAGAAATTTTCTAAAAACAATTAACCAGTGGAATGGCTTATCTTCAGAAGTTGTGGATGCTCCATCACTGGAGGCTTTCAAGAAGAGACTGGACAGCCACTTGTATTAAATCTTATAGACTACCCTGCTCAAGGAGGGGGTTGGACTAGATGACCTCCAAGGTCCCTTCCAATTCTGTTAGTCTATTCTATCTGTTTTGTTTTTTTTCCAAAAGGCAACTAGACTTTCTCAGCTTTTTTTTTCTTTGAAAATATTTTTCTTCTCATCCAAGAGAACTAAAGAA